ACCACCACGCGGCGCGACAGCGGGCGGGAATGGAGCGACTCGCCCGGGAGCGGCCGGAGCGCGACGACAAGCCCTTCCATTGGTCGAATTGCAGCGGCGGCTGAGGGACCTAGTTACGAGCGCAAGGTGACCGTACTGACCGCGGGCGGAGCTCAGGCCCCCACGTCGCCATCGTTTTCGTCGGAAGAGGTCGGCTGGGGCGAGGCGCCGGTCAGCCCGGTCCTCGGGCGGGGCGGCGGCACCCACCGCATTGCGCGCAACCAGACCTCCCACGCCGAGCTCAAGTACTTGGAATTCCACTCTCTCCCCCCCCACGTCTACTACCAGTCACGTGCTGATTTCCTGGTCGCGGCCGCGGCGTGGCCCCACCAGGTATTTCAAGCAGTTCGGCCTCGACACCCCTCCCGTGGAGGCCCGCGGAAAGAACGTCGGCGATGCCTCCCATCTCGAGAAGGGTACAGTTCCTATACACACACAACGCGCGACACACGACACACGACACACGACACACACACGACACACACGACGCAACACACACCACATCGCGCACCGGGGGGCTCACCGCCTGCATTGGGGGGCGTGCGTGCGTCTGTCAGGTTCGCTGCCGCCGTCGCTGTCGACGCTGCACCGACAAAACTCGCTCAAGAACCTGCGGCAGGAGGCCGTCCTCCTGGAATCCCGCGAGGCGGAGTCCGGCGGCTGCTGCTCGTCCTGCGTGCTCATGTAAGCTGCAGCCGCGGGGGGGGGGCGGGTAGGGAAGGTGGATTCGCACACAGTTTTGATGGTTTTATTTTTTGATCAATGTTCGGAGGAGGATTTACACGAGTTCGAGAAAAGAAGAACCTGGTGGCGCACGCACCAACCACCACTCATCAGTAGGGCTCCGACGGGATATCGCAGAGAGCCACGGAGAGGAGCCCCTGCAGCTTCTTTTGCTGCACAGCACAGACACCAACAACGAAGACCACCAATATATATCAGCATACACGACGTCGCTTCAAGGGAGGTTAGGGTCCGACGGAGAGGGGTACCAGCGGCGGCTTGTCGCTGGCAAGCTTCCATAGGCCGGGGAGGGAGGTGAGGAGGGCCTGCTTGATGACGCCCACGCACGTGACCACGTTGTAGAGTCTCCCGCCCGCCGACCTCCCGCGAGGCGTCACGCTCACCGGCGCCCGAGACATCGTCTCCTCGTCCTGGAACGACACGCGTGTGTGTTACACAAACCAACAACCAACAACAACCAACAACGCAATCATAGGTGATGCTGAGGGTTGGGGGGTGTAACATACGACAAGTTCGCGCATGAAGGACTGGACGAGGGCGAGGTTCTGGGGCGAGATGAAGGTGTTCATGGAGGCCATGTAGCTCTCCTTGTCGCCGAACGGGATCCCGTTCATGAGGCTGTAGACGCACTTGGAGACCAGCATCAGCACCCGGTGCTGCCCGCCGCCGCTGCCGCCGGCGTTGACGCCCGCGGCCACGAGCGCCGGCGAGAGGAAGCGGAGGAAGAACAGGTTGGCCACCGCCTGCACGTGCATCTCCGGCCAATGCCGCTTCACCTCAGCGCTCACCTGGCCCAGCACGCGCCGCACCGACCTGGAATGCAAACGCACGACACACACACGGCCCATGACACGCGCACACGTTTCGATCGAAGCGTGAGCCACGGAGCGAATCAAAATCGAGCGATTGGGGAATGTGGGGGGTACAGGGGGCAGCGGTGGGCCGATGCGCAGACGTGGACGAGGAAGGCCTGGGCCATCTCCAGCACCCGCCTCGCGCTCTGCTCCCGGTCCTGCGCCGACGGATTGCGGGCCGGATCCAACTCGATCGGCGATTCGAGCGCGGAGGCGGCGTGCAGCAGGGGCGCCGTGAGGAATTCCAAGTATGCCTTGCCCTGTTGTTGCACCGTCACGCCAAATGAATATAATGCAAAACACATGATATCGCTATTTTGGCATCTAAATAAAAATCAACGAATGGGAGGGAAGGGGCACCTCCTGGTTGAGGAATGTGGTGAGCATGCGGAGCCCCACGCTGTCCTCGCGGAAGAGCACGGCCGCCTGCTGCTCGGCGCCGGGGTCGGCAGACCCGCCAGATGCGGAGGAGGAGGAGGGCGCGGCGAGGTTGAGTTCGTCGAAGATGACGACGAGGAGCAGGTTCTGCACTTTGCCCATCTGGGCGTAGAAGTTCATCACGGCCTCGAACACCTGCCGCACGGCCCGGCTGTCGTCTCCGCTCATCTCCAGACGCAGCAGCGTGCGCACCAGCACGTACTGGTCCCACGAGTCCTCCAACAGCATCTGCACGATCACACACACACACACACACACGAGACACACGCGCGCGCACCGTCATCAGCGGTCAGATCCAGGGACAGACTGAGGGAAGGGAGGGTGGGGGGCGACCTCAGTGAAGGCGTTGAGCATGCGGTGGTAGCTCTGGGACGGCACCGGCAGGCCCTCCTCCGAGGGTTCGTCGAGGTCGTGTTCCGCCTCCTCGGCCTTTTCCTGAAGTGGAGCGCAACCACACACACGATCACCGATGGCCGCATTAGCACCGGCACTCGGAAAATGCGGTCGTCTCGTGCCGTTGGTGTCATGTCGTCGTGTGGTGTCGTGTGGAGTCGCGTGGTGTCGTGTGGTGTCGTGTGGTGTCGTGTGGTGTCGTGTCGGAGAGGAATGTGCCTTGGAGGGCGGGGAGGGGGTGAGCGGCGGGGAGGGGGTGGACGCGCTCCGCCGCCGCACTCCGATGCCCAGCCGGGGCACTCCCTTGCCCGATTGGCTGCTCGGCGAGGCAGGCACTATTTGTACAAAAACCATAAAAAGAGAGCCACGTCAGCACTGCAAGCCCTCTGCCAATCAATGCGCTCGCATTTGCACGCGACCAATTGAATCGTGGATGAGGGCGTCTCGCACCGTCAGCGGGGGCCGCGGCTTCGCGGTTGGCGCCCCGGTGGGAATGCTTGGCCCCGTCGCCGTTCTTATCCGTGGTGGGCGTTTTGATGATCTTTTCGGGCTTCTTCCGCGGCGACGTCTGAGGGCGCAGCAACTGTTGTTGTTGGCACCACCGATGATCGTCACGGTATCAGTGATGAACTGAGGGGGGGGGTAAAGAACGAAAGCGACCGGGAGGGTGATGGACCTTGAAGATGTTCTGCTTGCGGTCGCTGTTCTTTTCCTTGCGCGTGGACTCCTCCGTCGTCCCCTTCTACAGAGATCAAACGTGATCAGCGCACTATTGCCCGACCCAATCCGAAATTGGGATTGAGTCGCGAAGAGGTACCATGAGCTGGGCGTGCGAGGTGAGGAGGCGCGCCTGCGCCTGATCGCACAGAGAGAAATCGGCAATGTCGATCCCCAGGTACCTGCATACCGCACACACACGCACACACACGCACACGCACGCACACGCACGCACACAGCGGTCAGCGGCCTGTGGAGTCCGTCTTGGCTGGAGTCGACGTGCGCGTACTTGGCTTCTTCGAGGGAGGCGAGGACGGGCGTGCAGGCGAAGCACATCACCTGCTTGGCCTTGCACCACACCATCTGGGACCCAGGCACGGCCACCGCGGTGAGCCAACATCATCAGCACCGTGACGTCACTGTGCCACCTTGAAAAGAGCAAACAAGCAGGGGTTGGTAGCAGCACCTCGCCGTGGAGGGTGAGCTGGTAGTCGTCGTCGTAGTCGTGCACGATCGTGAAGGGCGCCACCTTCCGGTTGAGGTACAGCGGCCGGAATGCGGCGAACGAGAGCGACGGGGGCTCCGTGATGGTGAAGTACTGCGACATGTGGTCCCCCGCCTCCATCCCCACTATCCGCTGCAGCGACTGGTAACACGACACGACACGACACGACACGACACGACACGACACGACACGACACAGCAACAATCAGGCTTTGTCGTTGCCAGGCGTGCGTGGGCATAGCGTGGATGGGGGAGGGGCCCACCGGCCCGGCCTGCTGGACGAGGCACTCGCGGTCGAAGACGATGTGGAAGGGGAAGAGCCGGCTGAGCCCCTTGGGCGGGAGGCCGATGGGGTGGGGTCGCGACCGCCGCAGGTCGGACGTCGACGCCGACGCCGACGACGATGGAGAGGAGGAGCGGCCAGCGGCGCCACCGGACGCGGCCAAGGCAGCGGCGGGGCACTGGAGGAAGATGCCGGAGCCCTCGCTTTGGTCTGAGTCGTTGGAGTTGTCCGAGTGGGTGGAGCTG